TTACGATTTTTGTTGACTAGTCATCGCAGGATTGACGCGTCGTTACATGTAAATGCCATCAGACCAGTTCGAATAATCACGCACGGTACGTTGGGCAGTACCGGCTCGTCCGAGGCACGCGATTGCCTCTTGGAACGTCCTGTTAAATATTTAAATGCTAGTGCGGAAACAAGCCGCTTATTTCTCAAGACGAAAGATTGTTTTAGACGAGAGAATTTATAAGATTTCCCATCTGCCGTGAGCTCGCGTGACTTCCTTTGCGAATCCGGTCCTTTGGCATGGAGGAGGAAGATGTCACGTTCCATAAATCCTTTATCGATTATCGCTTTAGGCACAAGCACAATCGTTAATCTAACTCGTCTAAATAATGGACGTCTTAGTATGACAGGAAATAAAGTGTATAATGCGGTCATTTGTCTACGAGTAGCGCGTCGTAAGTAAAACACGCATGGGAGAGTAGAAACGTGGTCTCTTACTCGGCATTGAAACTAAGGCAGTTTTACGAATGAGAAAAGGAAAACATTTGTCTTCATGTTTCACAGTTACCTTCCTTAATTTCTATTCCACAAGAATGTATATTGAATAATTAGAAGAAAATAATTGATACAACCATAAATGGAAAATTGTGACAATCTTTATTAAAGTCAAAATTATTAAAAATTATTCCAATAAGAGATTATATAATTTTATTATTATTGTACATTCTTCAAAAAATTATTTATAATATGTATATTTAAATAAATAAATAAAATAAATATTGTAAATACTAAATTATTAATTAATGTCTAATATTTGTATAAATTTATCTGCTATAATATTTGTATAAAGCTAATAAATTATTATATGTATTTAATACATTATTTTTGAAAAAGCAGCGTAATTATTATACTATGTTGATTTTGAGTGATATGATATTACAGAATTCAGCTAAATAGAGAATTTCAAAATATTTCTCGTTTGTTGGTAGGAAAAAGCGTGAGCGTGGTGGTTGCTTTGAAAATTTTAACATATACGCCGGTTGAGAACATATGGCGCTCGTGGTTGGCCTACAAATGGCCGAATCACAATCTGCGAGAAGCGTAACGTATCGCGGGTCTGGCGTGGCGGAAGAAAAACACGAATATCAAATATCCCTCATAAATTAGAAAATCCGAAAATTCGATTTTCGTAAATCTAATATAGATTTAGCACAGAGTATCGACAGTTTCTCATTATATAAAATGTTAATCAAACGTTTAAATTTATAAAATGCCAACCAAAAAATCATTTTATCATATCTTTAAATTGTTTTTTTTAACATTACTTTTAGATAATCTTTTTATTTAAAATAATATATTACACGTTTCTAAAAGATTGCATACATTTCTAAAAGAAGTATATACATTTTTCAAAGATAATTATATTTTATATATATAGGCATTCGTGAATTTTAAGAAAAGAAATCTTATAAGTTATTATTACAAGAGATGTTTTTTCTGTGATTGCTGTATATAACATTAAACAATTTTTAAAAAATTATCTTGACTGTGGGACTCTTTCTATACATGAATTTTATAATATGTTCAAGTGAGAGAAATCGTTAACCGCTAAGCTATGCATTCAGTGATTATCAGGAAGTTCAATCTATTATGTTGAAAGTGTTATAACCCGAATGGCTATCACTTATTTTATTAATTATTTTATTTCAACCGGCATAGCAACCAGCACCGGAAATGCAAGTCTGCACATTCTTTAATCACGCGATCGCGCCTCTAGCGCGACGAATATTACCATATATGGTCCGATCGAAGACCAAAAGCGACATCATCAAACTCAATATAAGCGACCGCCTAAATGCCGAGCGCAGAGTCTTGTCTTGAAATCTAAACGTAACGATACGTTACGCGCGTCGCGAGAACCGAGTCAAGTAACATCCGCGATACCGTCGCCGACCGGTTTACTCATAAGTCACGAGCGATAACTTTAAAATATATTCATTTAACTAAACAACTGTATTAATTAAATGAAAGTTACAGTTACTAAAAAGCATTGTAATCTTTAGTAATAAATAATTATATAAATAAGGGGGTACAACATTTGTAATCAACTATCAAATTGTTAAATAAAAAGGGTTATTTTAAATAGAAGTGTGGTGAAGTGAGTGTTTGTTCAACGACCTTTTACTATCCTCGTCTTTCCTCGTGGGTTCCAACCCTTTGAGCGGATCGAATCCCAAAATAATATCTTGTTGCACCGAGAGGTACAACAAAAGGTAAATTATGTACTAGGACAAGCAGAGACGAGTTTCTAGAAACTTAAATCATTATGTATTATTTTGATGGTCAGTATTATAACAGAAAGCATGATAAGTGATTTAAATTTTGAAGCTGTTTGATGTTATTATAAATATTTATTCATAAATATTATAAGTGGATATATTATATCATACTTTATATCAAGATTACTCTGCTTCTTTTTTTCTTTTAAATTAATAATTAGATTAATTATGTTTAGAAAGATCTAGATTATAAATGTTTTTTCATTAAAGTGTGAAATGTATAAAAATTTGTTATATTAATTAAAAATGGCACACCTATTTCCTTCTATGTAAAATTTAAATATCGATAGTAATAATGTAAGTACCACTCAATATTAATGGCATTTCAGAGTTAAATAATAAAAATTTTATAGCTAAAAAATTGTAACAAATTTGAAATCATTTTAATTTGCGCGCATATGAGAGAAATTAGCATACTTTTTCTTTTTTTTTTTTCTAGAAATAATTGTGAAAGAAATAGCTCTAAATATACCAGTAAAACTGCATACATAGTACTGTCGTTAATATACGTATGAAACTATTTAATATTCTGTATATAATGATGTCGAGGATCAATAAGTATCTCAACAAGAGATACATTTTGTATCAGATTTATGTCAAAGGTTATTTCTTATCACAGCTGCACGTCTGTTACAAGTATCGATACCAGTAGACAGAATAACGAGTAGTCGGAAATCTTAATGGCGATCGCGATTTCCAGTTTCTATTTCGGTATTCGAAATGCACACAACCGATATTGTATTCGTTTTTTTTTTTTACGAATAACTTTGTATCTTTTCGTTATACACAAAATCCCTGGTCGGCAATTATGCGAATATATATACGTGAACCATCTAGGAATGCTCTTACTTCGCCGATCTCAAGAGACTGCGCCAAATCGCGATACGAATAATATTCGAGGCGAATATTTATCAGACTGACAAGATCTTCAGCTTTTCTCGGCGAAATATTATCACACTCGTTCAACCATTGCTTTGTCTTGGGAATTCGTCGAATACTCTTGAGGTTTTCGCCGGCGCATCTTCCGCATGATCGCGAATCTGCATTTTGAAGAACCTTGTTTCGATATCTGTTTCTCCATGGATTCCCAGGAAATGTTCAATATTTCCATGTTCTTAGTTTTTATATAGAGAGAAAGGCCATGTTACTGACAGCATTCGTATTACTGTCAATTAAAATTCAGATGCTTTTTAGAAAATAAATATTAATATATATTTTGTCATTTTTAAAATTTTAATATTTTTTTTTAAATATTAAAAAATTTATTTATCATTTTTCGAGTTTTTAATTTTTTAAATTCTTGTATTATTATAATAGTCTTTTATTGTAATTTTTACATTAAAATTTAATTTTTTCAATTCTTTAAATATCTACATATATTTGATTCCACGTTTTTGAACCTTTATATAGTCTTTATGTAGCTTTTTCATTTTCTATTTTTTTATACAATATTTATGTACGCGTTATATGAAGGACAAAAAAGATTATAATATCATTAAGAGGAGTTGTGCGAAACAAAGGGACAAAAATGGACAACAGCCTAGGGCAAAAGAATGTTATCCGTGTCCCTATCGATCTCACTCGATTCAACAAAAATGCTACATCTGCAAGCTAGCAAGCGTAGTTTTAAGAAAAACTTGCACGTACTCGCAAAAAAAGTTAACACTTTTTATTCGACGAAACTAGTTAATACCACGTTAGGGGCACCTTGTGCGTAGTTTTGGAACACGATCCAGTAGTACTCTCGTCCTACGTACGTTTTAGTCGTAATTCCTTTTTTTACTTTTCCTTTTCCAAAGGTATATATGGTCTTGCAAAATGAACGCACCGAGTGTATTGAAATGAAGAACTTGAAAAAGAAAATATTTTTTTATGTAATAAAATAAAATAAGGTTTCTGCAAAAAGGAAATTGTGCCGCAGTGAAGAACAATAAAAATATTTCTTTTAACATAATTTATCTTTAATTGCTATATTATTTTCTTCAAAAAAAAAAAAAGTAATTTGCTGCCGCTTCATATTTACATTCGCATTTTATAAACTGCTAGCATCACTTAAGTAGAAATGTCGTTAGTTTATCTCGCGCGTAAAATGGAGTTGAAATTTTCTGTTGGCGCGACACTCTATTTATATTAAATTCTTCAAGCTTGTTGGCACAATTTTCTATCGAAAAATACGTTGGCTTGAAGTTGACGGGAACGTATGATGAATAAGCAAGAAACGCATGGACCGCTGCCCGACATAAAATTAATCAACATTCCTCATCAAAATGATGTACAATGCATTTCACATAGTGCATTACTCAAAAACTATTGCTATTCTTTAATTAACATCTTAAATTTCGCAATTAAGTCTAAGTTTCGGAAGTTGCATGAAATACCATAGATTGAATACCTTGAAGAAAAGTATTAAAACAATGTAATATCTCTTTTAGATCACTTTTCAGTTTTTCTATTAAGTAATCTGAATTTTCATCTGACTAAAAAGGAACAAATTAGGTGACTGTTTAAAGAAAAATTAATCTCAAATGTATTGAATTTTTACATGGTGAAACAGTTAATTAAAATCATAGGAACAAGTATTGTAAATAATGAAAAATAATCTTCATCTTTCCTTTGAATTTCAGCTGTTTCAAAAGAAATGCATGTCTGAGGAAAGGAGAGGCACGAGTATTTGGTAATCATCATGAGGACACTCTGGATTGTGGTAATCATCCTACTCGAGATACACTTGTACTTCACAGGTAAGTTTTGAATTTATGAAAAATTATATTATATTACATTGTTGTATATTATATTTAGATATATTTTGAAAAACAATTATTGAAGAAACAAAAAAATTTGTAAGAACCATAGTTTTCTAAAAAAAAATTACATTACATAAAATGTGGAACGTTGTCTCATTTAAAATGTGTAAAAAAAAACAATCTTTTTAATTATTCGTAGAAAGAGCGGTGAATGAGAGTTTTAGTTTTGTAAAAAAAACGTTATTTGTTATTTAGCGTTACAAAATTTTGTGTGTTGCATACTATTAGCATACATTGCCATTTTATTTAAAGTTCTTCAACTGTTTCGGATGTAACATATTTAATTTTGTTAAGAAAATGTGTGGTATTTTAAAGATTTTTAAGATTAGAATTAGAAATTTTGACGGGAAACGACATGCTTATTCGTATTTCTACCTCGCACGTTTTCCTCTCGTAAATCGCGTGTTTAAGTGTAGCGGCTCTCCTAGCCTCTAAATAATTTTATTTCTAATTCTCTCTGCGCTCCTCCTCGTCGGCATTCGCTTCACGGCGGCATACAATTTTCAACGGTAATGATGCTGCCTGAAGAAACGCGGGATTCGACGGCGGCACGCCACACTCTTCCGTACTTCAGGCAAGTTATTTTCGTGCCGGCAATGGAAAACACTTAATCCGATGGCTGACAAGCAATTTCCGGTTATCGCGTTGCTGAAAACCCACGGCTCTTACTTTCGCCTCGTTAGCGTTGAACCTATCGACGCATCGAAATCGTGTCGATCGTTCATCGATGTCTTACATCTCGACGATTCCCTTCTTCGGGACATCGAGACTTTCGACGCGGATATGTACTAACGAACAAATTCGTAGAACGTCTCATTCCCGAACGAGACGATGCCGTTCTGAAAATTTAGGTCACCGCTGTAACACCTCCGAAGCTTTAGAGCTAATTGAAAGTTTAATTAAATGCACACCGGCCCCTATTACCGAGCCGTTTTACGATTCCCGATTCGGCAAACTTTCTGAAATTATGCCAGATTAATCTTCCACTATGTGCTAATACTAATCATTGATAAATTCAATTTAGAAAACTGTACTAGTCTGTATTTTTACTTTGTCTTTATTTAAGTTAAAGACGGGCATAAGATATAACGTATTTATATCGAGTTAATTATTTCTTGTTATATCCTATATCATTTTTAATAATTCCTTTCCACGAAAATACATCGTATTATAATTGCCTATCGTGCATCTTAAATATTAAAAACTTGCAAAATTTATATTGAGAAGACTGTGTCATCGCAATTAAATATATTCATGATTATACATGGATCATTCTCGATGATCCTACGAGAAAAGAATATCTCATGAAAAATTGAGTTCGTGAATGTTGAATAATCAATTAGATAACTTAATTAGTCAGTAAATGCATCAATTCGAAAGTTCAATAATACTTTAGCATGGTAAAGTTCATATTTTAATATTTTTATTACGGAGTATTGATGTTTATTGCATTATTAATTGCTATTTTCCATATTTATAAATTTTGCGTGTTATAAGAAAAAGAAGCTTTTAATATGCAAGAATATTTTGTTTTAATTAAAATATACTATTTTTCTTAAATTTAATGTTTCATTAAAATTATAATATTTCTCTATCACACGATATGAAAATCTCTATAATTTTTTCACACGGTAGAAATACTACTCTAATAATCCCTTAGGGTGTCATTCGTTTAACGACCTCTTCTTTCCCTTTTTATTCCGGTCATAGAGAATTCGAGTATTTTTCCCGTGGGACTTTCTGGCAAATAATCACTTTGAAATACTGAACGCTGACGGTGGCAATGATGTTAATTCATTTTGACGAGAAAATTCAATTGAGATACGCTGGTCAACATCGAGAGAGTGGCCTGTAACTGTCTCTTGTATTATTAATTACAAATGCACAATACACTCACAAAGATTCCATGCTTTAATCGAGCTTTTTCCAATGTGCATGAACAAGGAACTGAATTCATCGTTCATTATATATTACAAAAATTAATTGAGATTAATATTAACAAAATATGAATTCTCTACGTTCCTTCTTATTTCTATTTATATTTTATTTATTCTAAGTTATCATTTTATGAATATATATGTTTATATATGTACATTATCTATTGTTCAATAAAGAATTTAAGTAAAAGCAATAGTTTTTTACACTAGTAAGAACTTGAAATAAATGAAGAAATATGCCATAAACATGCAGATATTCTGTATATCGTAACATTTTAAAAGCGAACTTTGCATCGTCGGCGCGAGGCGTCAAGTTTCGTTCGTAAGCTCGAGCTTACAACTCGTTGAACAGAAATAGAAACTTTCCAGATATTTGCCGCCTGGAGTTCTCGCACAGGGGCGCTTATGGATAAAATCTCTCTTTTTTTTTTTTTTTTTTTTTTTTTTTTTTTTTTTTTTTTTTACTGTCAAAGAAGTCTGAGATGTGCACAGGGACAAGCGAACGATCGCGAGAGGTAAGCGGAATGCGAGGCACAACGAGCGAGAAAGTTTCCGGCTGAATATCCATGGAAATTCGCCACGTTTGGCGCGTCTTGGGCATCGGTAAACGCCCGACCAAACCATCGTAATTGCCGTGACTAAGTTATTCACTTAAGCCACTCGAGCGATGCTCGGGTTATGCGTTATCGTTGCGAAGGTGGCTGCATTAATCTCGGAGCAAGAGGGTGCTTTGTCGTCTCTCGCAATCTCTGCGCCGCGCCCTTCGTCAACCATGGAAATCGTCCTTAATCCTTGATCATAGTCGACCTTAGAACTAACAGCCCTTAGAGAGACAGATATTATGAGCGCGGAACTTTCTTGTGCAAGAAAATACATGGCGTAATTTCTCACATTTTGTCATAGCACTCTCGTAATTTTCATTTAATTGAATCTTCTGAGAGTCTTTAATTAATCGATCCTACACGTTTTGCTACAACTTATAATGCTAAGATGTGAGAATTAAAAGAAAAAAAAAAAGCATTAATAGATAGATTTATACAAAGTTCCTATTTTTATAATTATTATAAATTCCGGATGAATTTTTTTTACACATCATTATTGTAATGAAACACACGGCATACGGCATCCATAAAAGAATCCACTCTGCAACTCGTTTTATATAATTGCATAGACAAGTAGAAAGAATATTAAAAATATTTTTGAAATGTGTGCTTTATGATGAAAAGTGATTTTCACGTGAAGAATATTTTTATAATACATCATAGTAACAAATGTAATCATTTTTTAATTTATAAACTTTTTATAAATTTTATTATTAAAAATAATAATATACAATCGATAATAAATTATTCAATTACTTTATATCTCTTAGAAAATCTCCATTCTGCACATTGTCTTTACACTGTTGTACTTACATTGTTGTTTCATTGATACTCAGCTATTTTTATTAAATACTGCTTAAAATTGATTATTTGATTTATTTCGAAAACAATCCATGTTTCCGAAATATTTTTGTACAACCGATATCATTAATATTATACGAGATTATCAGAATTATCTGTGCATGCGATGTTCACTTCATTGATTATGTATCATTTTTTCTGTATGATGGTTCTTTAATACTTGCATTTTTTAGTATTATGCTTCATATTTTATGCGATTCCTATTTTCTTTCAACTTTATGTACTATTTTATGACTCAAATCGAAAATCAAAACATTTATATCATTGTTATATGAAAATAAATTGATATACTTAACTAATATTAGAAAGATAGATATAACATTATTATAGCTAGGTATGTTACGATTAGATGTTTTTAATTTATAATTTTTCATAGTCTATATAATTATTCACATTGAACTACTTAAGTCTATTGCGTCATTAAATGATAATAACGTCAAGAAGAAGAAAATTATTTATAAGAATTTATGAGAGTCAACATTCCAAGTATCGTAATACACAATCTTGAGATTTTAATTTTGATTTAATTTTGTTTTAATAGCAAATATATTTGTACAATAAAATATAATAATTATGAGAGCAATTTTCAAATTTATAATTTCTCGAGGAAAATTGTTACTAATATTAATTTGTTATACGACGCGTCATTCACAGATGTTACTTGGATCGAGCAAAGTGGTTCCTATCTTCAGGAAGCATTGTTGTAATTTATGTTCGCAGTAAGCCAGGCGAAGCATCAGCAGAACTCAAGTGCCAATAATGCAATCGCCCCATTGAATGCCCCGGAGGGTAAAAATGAAGATGTTCTTGAAGGACCAATTGCAGAGGTGCTTGCTCAAAGTGGTACCACGGCAGTCCTGCCGTGCAAAATTACTGATCCTGGAGCTGGAACGGTAAGTGTCACATAGTTTGCGTAATAGTACCTATATGTATATTTTATTTTAGTTTATTTATACAGAGTAAATACTCGGTAATCTAAAAGATTTTAAACAGTGATTTCTCACATAAATTTAAGACAAAATTTCTTTTTCAAAAATTTAAAAAGTCACTCGGGTTATTTTGACGAAACTTGCTAGAATTTTTGAAATTTTTAGGAAAAATGAAATTTTCCTTTCATAAAATTAAAATATTTCGGACATATATATAATCCTATAAAGTTTTTATTTTTAATCATTCTTTAAAATTTTTTTAAGTACTCAGCAGCCACACACACAACACACACACACACACCCTGTATACAAATGTTTCACCCAATTAGAAGTATACATATTATTTATTTTGTTTACTGACGAAAATAATTGCCATATGACCAAATTTGTCAGCTACATCATTTTTGTTTCTATTGAATACACATAGCTAAAAATAATATTATATAAAAATTGAAAATACGATTTGTATGCTCGCGTTGTATTTCACTAACAGTACACATTTGAACAGTATAAATCGAATATTATGTTCAAATACGGCTATTAATATCGTGCTGTAATAAAATACGACACACAAAAAAGGATTAAAATTCCTATCCATTACATAAATGTGTAAATCAAGCTATTGAAAACGACATTGTTCACTACATTCAAATGCTTAATTGGAACACGTAAATGAGTAATTTTTCAGGAAATTATTTCTCTGAACATACATTGTGTGAAATATTAATGATCCACATTTTTTCCTACTTGATTTCTCGCTCATACCATTTCTCAGCCCATCTCAAAAGCCGCTTCGTCTTCTTCCATTCACACCAGATTTTCCAGATTTTCATTTCCGTTATACAGACAGGTTCGAACGATCCTCATTTAATTTCCGTTTCCTATCGTGCACATGCCAAGTGCGAATGATCCATAAAGAAAGGAGTATTCGCTATTTCTAATATGGTTGGCGTTCGTGGCGTAGCTATGAAATGACCATTCAAATATAAACAGTCGGGACGTGAATGACAAACGCGAAGATAAAATTTGAAATTTCAAGGAAGTTTTCTGTGGAAGAAATCTCTTCCATCACAGGCACCATTAAAGTTGAAGTACAAATTTTCTCTGGTAACGTGAATTATCTCGACAATCGCATGCTGAGAATATCTTCAGACACGTTTTATCTTCATCGCTTGTGCCTCATAAAAGAAGAATAAAACGGATTACAGAACACATTAAAACAACGACATGCGTAACTAATTTTCGCTATCGTGTGATGATGACGTTGATATATCTCTACACATCGTCTATTTAATGAAGAATTACACAACTCTGTTCTTTGAAAAATATAATTATTTTTGCTAAAATATTGTATCAAATGAAACAGTATATTTTATAGAAAATATATTATAGAAAAAAATACGCATAGATCAGAAATAATATAGAACTAATATAGAACACTAATATAGAAAATTCTAATAAAATAAAATAGTAATGCAAAAAGAGAGGGATGCAAGAAATCAATAACTGTCTCATACATTTGTCTCATAATTAAACTTGACGTAACGCATTTTAATAACTCTTTATGAAACTCAGGTTTCTCTGATTTGTCGAGTCCGCGATTGAAAGCACAAACGAGTACATATCCCTTACGGAGATATTCTGCGTAACCATGCAAACATGTGCGTCCTGAATACAGCACACGGTATTGAAAGCGGAAACGAACGCGACGCGCCATGTTGGAAGTATAAATGATAAGTCGATACAGTATTTTTGCCTGTGAATTGCAGGCCGTTTGCTTTTTTCCTTCTCTTTTTACTGCGGCCCTCGCTATGTACTTTAATGCTGTAGCCGTCGGTCCAGCAAATTGCCCCAGTTTACGGTCTACAACGGCGCGCTACTCCAGTATAGCGTATGCTCTTTGTCTTATTTAGAGTGCCATCCCCGAGAAAAAAATCAACGGACAATTTGCGTGAATAGTGAACGCATCTGCATTCGTACTTCATTTCGAGTTATTTTCATCCATGTCGGATTCTGGCGTTTCAGAAACGGACGGTAAAGTACTAATTGACAACACCCCAGTAAAAAAATCGATGTCCAACGTGCACTACTACTAGTTAGAATTCTTTTCTATGAGACTTCATCCCATAAACGTAATAGGTATGAACTGCACTTTTCCTGATCCTAGCACCTGTGTTCCGTTAAAAAGACGCTGCAGTATATTAACCTTTGGAGGATGGGAGCTTTTTAATAAAAAAAACTTAAAGAAGACCTTATTTTCCAAGGATCGATTCTAATAACATCAGAATTCTACTTAAATTAAAAAAATAATCTGATTCTCGCTAAACTCGATTTTAGAAAATTTTTGATATCGCTAAGTTTAGATATAATTTGAAATTTGAAAATGATAAAAAGCTTCAATAAAGGAAGATCTAGTGTTACATAGCTCGTAATTAAAGTTTGAAAGTCAGTTTAAAAATCAGTAATAATTGATTGCACAACATTGATGAGCTTAACATAAAGCGAAACTAGAAACTTGATGTTACTCTCTCTTTACAATTAAATATTCCCTAAAATCAATTTTTGTGTGTGTGTGTGTGCTGCGTGTGATAATCAGATTATTTTAAAAAATTATATCCGCCATATTGGATTCAATATTGAAAAATTCTTATTTCTGATCTCCTAGATTCGAATAAAGCATTATCAAATTATCCATAAAGCTAAGTTTCATAAAAATCAAATAAGCAGTTTATAAAATAAAAAAGCATGGCCTGTCAACAAAGGATTATTTGTATTAGTCAATCTCTTCAACTAAACGTTTTAGAAAAGGAGAGAGAGAGAGGGGGAAAGTGATAGCAATTAAACTATCTCATTCTTTCTAAACTAATAACTTCATAGGAATGTGCAGTCTATACTGACTATAACGCTTCCTCCGTACTCTCGCGTTTTCCATATCCCTTGATGTTAATTTGATCCCTTTCGGAAAATTTGAGATTACTCTGCGTCACTGGTCGATTCAGTATTTGGAATGTATTCTCTCGTGAACTATGCCAAATCCCATACTGTAATGTCGCGTAGTTGGACGGAATGCCTATTACGCACGCCTCCGCCCTCGCGAAGTCGAGAAGTTAGCTCGGGAATATTTTAGAATATTTTAGCGGGTTTTGGCGTTAAACCGATGCGACGGCGCGCCAGATGCCGCGTGACTGTATTCCTCTTTTTTTTCATCCTCCCTTATACGAAAAAGGGGAAGAGAGAACGAAAGAGCAATCCGCGTTATGTGCATACGCAATCGAGACGGTGGAAACATTCCTCCTCTCGATACTCGCTAGCGGTATACTTTAGAAATCGGAATGGAATTCCGACAGACGATTCTCTCTGCGCGACAGGCGATGCACGTTTCCATAAAATTCCGACGAGAGTTTCCCGTGACGCAGACGTAGCGACGTGAATGAGACGTAAGCCGACTTTAAACGCGCATTTTCCGACACACCTGCTTCGTAACGTTTGAAAACGGACTTATATGTACAATAACTGTCGTATTTAGAATTTATAGCATGTCGAAAGTTATAAACTATAGTATGGGCGACATGGGCGTATTCAGAAGGTTTGGGGACTCGACCTTTCCCTTTAGAAATTTATAATTAAAAGTTACGAGATTGTGTGACAAAACTTAATATTTTTTTTTATTTATTTCAAAATGAGAAACAAAAAGGAGACATTCTATAATAAGTTCTAAAATGTCAAAAAAGCAATTTATTAATGCAAAAAATTACTACTTATTTGATAACAGAATTAATAATTGTAAATTCCTTGATAACTTGTGTGATTAAATCTCGTTGCGGATGTATTCTTCATTAAAACGGATTTTTCAATAAAAATCTCGGTATTGTAATTTCTTCGGCGGTTTCTGCATTTATAAACACGATCCTGCAGCGGCTTTTCTTCAGCACTTCTAATAAATTACATTTCTACGGAGAAAAATGTCAGAGATTCTTTTGACTCTGTACGCTTATTTCTTGAAAAGAACAGACGCTTGCTTTGACACAAATCGAAATTGCGTTTCAATAAGCAGAAACAAATCGATACGCGCTGCGTGTCACCGCAACCGCTATAAACGAGCACAAGACTTGCGAACGCTCTCGGGGGATGCAGCATGCTTGTACAAACTCTATGGAGAGTTTACTTTTCTCCCTTTGATTTCTGAATTTTACAGCTCCGTTGGGCACGAAGAGCGGAGACTTCAGCTCGTAATTTACTTACAGCGAGAGTATTTCAGGTCTCTTTCCATTGCACGCATTGCCAGAGTTATGTGCAAATTTATCGGCAATAAAGCGATTTATGTTTTTAACATCATTTCTTCTTAAAATACTCGTTTCTAGTAAGATTATTACTTAGAATTAATTAGAATTAATTAGTCTTTAGAATTATTAATTGTTTTTGTCCTCATTCAATTACGGAATAAGTTACATACATGGCCTAAAACCATCCACAAAAGAATATTCTTAAAAATTGATTAAAATATTGAAGTACATTCATATTTTTCCCGAATAAAATTTCAGAAAATTGACCTAGATTTACTCTCATTATTTGAAATATATGTGAAATAAATGTGCTGTTTGTCTGACAAGTTGGTTTTGCGGAAGAAATGACTAAAAGCAAATTTGTTTATAATAAATATAAATGTATAGAATGTATATTAATAATGTATTAACCCTTACTAAGTAAACACGATGATTTTCTTCACACGATGGATCATTCGTGTTCTGGATTAATTTTCATCACTTTTAAATAATCAGACTAAATCAAATCGGATCAATTTTTGTTTATTAATAAAAAATAATCGAAAACAAATTTTGTTATTAAGTTTTATTATAAATTTTTAATTTTGACAACTTTTTGGCTTAGATTTCATATAACAAAATAATATGATATATAAAAAAATATATAATATTTCCTATTACACAACGAAAAAATCAAAGAGG